GGGAGGGAGGGAGGGAGGGAGGGAGGGAGGGAGGGAAAAAAAAGAGAGCTGACCCCTCTACCTGAGATTTTTGCCTTCCAGAGGCAACGACCCTTCCCTTTGCCCTGCAGGCAGCTGGGAGTGGGAGAAGTCAGAAGATGCCATTTGCTCAAAGAAAACCTTGCTATTCAGACTCTTAAATCTAGGGACACTTTGCTTAACTAGGAGCTAAATCCAGGTAGTGAAGTTTAAACTGTCTAACCTGTGTTTCTATAACCTTAACAGTTGAAGGAGCTCAAATCAGGTGAAATAAAACATGGAATAATCTGTGGCACTGAGATACTTTGTCTGGGCAGCCTGGAGAGAAATCAGCATGAGTGAGCAGAATAAAATGGGTGTAACCTTGGGCAGATAAACATTTTTTTTGCAGATAGCTAAGATAAATTAAAAGATTTTGAAAACTTTATCAAGTAGCTAATGGTCCTCTGTTTTGCCAAGAAAAAGGGCTTAGTTTAAATCCTGAGTTTATAGTGATGTGAAGTAGTAAAAATACAGCATTTACTTTGCAAGCAGTAGAAGGCGTGTCATAATGCTAAACACATTTGCAAATAAAAGGCCTTTGAAGCATACATAATAGAGGTTTCTGATCCTCACTTTTTATTTTATCCCCCTAGTTTATTCACTTACACTAACAGTTTTTCATTTCTGTGCAGAGAATGGTTCCAAGTCTTTCTTCTACTGTAAATTATACTGATCCTACATTAGAGCCTGTAGTAACTGAAAATTCAGTCATACGACAGAAGATAATAGATTCACAGTTCAAATGCTATGAGAGGATGAACAGAGCTCCTCCATATAGGAAAAAAGGTAAAAAAGTTTTTTAAAAAATCTGCTTGTCTATTACCATGCTTGTTTTTATCACTATAAACATTTTCTTCTACACAGTCTTCCTTGGGGTGCAGTTTCTTTCCTGTAAGCAGTAGTCAAATTCCCACTAACTCAGCATCAAGTACTGAGAAAGAAAAAAGCCTGGAACAATCCCAGGGAATGAACAGCTCTTCCCGCCCATGCAGACGGTACCCCTGTCACCTACATGTCTGGCTCAGTGCTTTGCTGCTTGAATGTCTCCTGTTCTTGCTTATGGAATGATATTGTCCAGAACCTTTCAGCAAGCTCACACAAAGAACCAATTGTCAACGGTGTTATCTTGAATAGAAATGTCATTCTGTTTGCTCACTGTTTATTTTTTCTGTCATTTTTGTATTGACTGATAGATGCCATGCTCTGTACCGACACAGATGTGCCAGGTATTACATATTCAGCAGTAACACTAGCAAAAAAGAGGTTTATAAAGCACTGAGGACACATCTTTATCAAATATGAGGCACATACTAAGATTAACAGAAAGAGAAATGACAAATAATAGTAGTACTACAATGGCACAGTATAAATGAAGCACCATTTCTAGTTGGGACAGAGCGTTCTGGTCACTTTTTCCCACAGAAAATATGGAAGAAGTTATGAGGAGTCTACAGAAAAAAATATTAGAGGCATTGTAGGGATTTATGCAAGTAAAGAACATAGATACTGAGGACACAGTTTAAAGAGAAAAGATATTAAAAAACCATGATTTAAAAAACCCAACCTAATAGATGGAGTGGAGATAATGTGGGATTTTTTGTAATGCAAGAATAAAGCCAAAGATTTTACTGGGCTCTCTCTGTAAGACTCAAAGAATAATTAGTTGTTAAGATACTCAGGTCTTGATGCAAAATGTTTTGGAATGAATAAAAATATTCCCATTGCTTCAAATAGGTTTTCATTCAGGCCAGTAATGAGGAAAACCCACAAGTATTTAAACAGGGTTATGAAATAGAAAGCGTTGTGTTTCAGCCATAAACAAGCCTTTAGTTGCTGGGCTTGAGGGGGAAATAACTTGCTGTCTGCTCAGATTACTCTTTTAGTGTCCAGCTTTATAAATATGTAATTTTTTTCATCCATTGATAGTTCCTCTGTACTCACCTTTCTTTTGCACCTTGCTTGTGTGATTAGTTGCTAAGGGCTGAAGTGTTTTCCCAGCATGAGCTGGGAATTCATGTGTCCCATGACATATGAATTCCTGGCAGCGTTCTCAAGGGCAGCATTAGCCCAGGAGGGCAGCAGTGGCAGACCCGCAGCCATCAGACAGCACAGCAGTTCCTGTGTTCCCTTGACTGGCAGCTAGATTTAAGTGATGCCATTGGGGACTGTTATGACTGTAGCAACATGCACTTAATTAATTTGTAACCCAGAATGAAGATAATGAGTAAGGAATGATGCCAACACTACTGAAGTTGCATTTTCAACTGAATTACAGGATTCTCACCAGCCCTCCAACATTTACACTTCATAAAGCGTTGGAAGGGAACAAGGATCTAAGTCTCTTGGATGAAAATTTGAAAGGGAGGATGGGATGAGATGTGAAATTCCCTTAATACAAAGGACAACTGTAGGGGTGACTCGTGAGAGGAAAAGCCCAACATATGAGCTGAAGGGGTATACTGGGATAAACAGCATAAACAGTAGTGGAGTCTAACACTGGAGTTCGCAGGAAAGCCCAGTGTCTGGTATGACTTTACAGAGCCAGCCAAGATGTGTCTAATTTTTCTCTGGTTTCTCTGCAGTCCCTGATGTAGCATATTTGTAGATTGGTGCAAAGGTAGTTTAAATCTTTCATAATCCTGGGGCTCAAAGCTGGTGGCAGTGAACTGCAGAGAACTGCATAGTGTCTCGTGCTCAGGAGCCAGATAGATGATATAATACAGGTGAGCTGTGGCAGCATGTGTCAGCAGAGCCGAAGTAATGAACCATGAACACACAGTTATCTTGCCCATTTCAAAGTAGAATTGATGATCTTTAATCTCAAAGAAATAACAAAATGAGGAGCTCAGGCACATGACCATCAGACACCTGACCATCCCTCCAGGACAGCGCAGCACTCCCACACTCCCTGTCCATCCAAAAATGTAGTCTTTTTAGCTGGTGATATGGCAATATGGTGTTCAAATCTTTCTTTTCTGTTTTATTACTTACATCGTTTAATTTCCTACATCACTTAAAAAAAACATATATATGTATGCATGTATATATCTATATATATGTGTATATATATATTTACGGATGTACGTGTGCATATATATCCTGTTACTTACCTTGAAAGACACATTCCACAATGTATAGATCAACATCTGTGATATTTTATTTTTTTTAATCAGGCAAGGCAAAGGATTTAAAGGTAGAAATTCCTACCAGCCCCATTCTGCAGTGTATTTCAGATACAAGCTCAAGTTGCAAATATTTTCTACTCTTCTTTTTCTTTGGTATTACAAAACTATTCCTAAAAGTCTTTCAGATACATCTCAAAGCTAGAAAACATGGGAATGCCTGAAGATAACAAACTGCTGATACAGTGGTTAATTAATGAATTAAGTGAACAAGTAGCGTTAGCACATTTAACTTGACAATGGAAAAATAGAAGTGCATAAAATCTTAGCTAATTAAGAAAATGTGTTCATTAAAATATCTTTTTTGCTAGGCATCTAATTGGGAAAAAAATAATTTGTAATGGTTTATGCTTTCAATTTTTAATCCACAACTATTTTGACTTAAAACCAGTTATGGGAGCAAATTTGAACAATTCAGATGTCTTTTTACAGCTTTCTTGCTTCAGTAAGAAGGCTTAACTGTGAATAATTTCAAAAACACCAGAAGCAATTAGCTGCTCGTATTTTATTAACTTTCAATGGTTATTAGGTGCCTTCCACATGATTCTTTCAAAAACAACCTACATGGTCATAGCAGTAATTCTGAAACTCCCTTTGGACCAGACCAAAAAAAGGCAAGATGTATCTTCTCGCTGTATTTCCCTTTAACCTATGGTCATGATGACAGACATATTTTCCCAAACACAAACTGATTTTAAATGGAAAATAACTAAGAAATACAGGGGGGGGTGTGGGTGGGCGTGTGTGTGTTAATGTGTTACTTGAATAAATCCACAGTAAGCCAGAAAATTGTGTTACAGCAAGCAGTCTTACAGCACAGTTTCTGTGGACCATGTATGTAACATCTCTGTAGTAGGAATCAAGAATGAGCTGTATTCTGCCTCCCTAGCATGGCTGCTCTTTCTGGGGCTCAGAACAGTCCTTGTAGGGGACACAGCTTCCACAGTGCTACGTTCCCAGAAGGGGCATGATGAGGACAGGATCACAGCATGCCTACACAGACAACCATCAGCAGGCAGAATTCTCCTGTTACAGATAGGTCTTGCACCTGCCTCACTGCATCTGTAGTTATGTCACCGATCTCTGGTGTGGAGCAATGCAACAACCCTACAGGGAACTGTCTCTGCAAATGTTGCTTTTAGCTGGGATGTCCCTGTAAAAGCCCTTCTGACATCTACATTTCAAAGACTTGTTTTTTGGTCCTGCTGAACAGCAGAAAGTCAAATGAAAAGCGGATGTCTGTAAGGTCTTTGAGTACCACTAGTGTCTGTACACGCTTGCAGCTGAGGACATAAGCAGGATCCAAAATAATTTATACAATCAGACCCTACATTCAAAGTTCAGCTCAACAAGTTTTAAAACATTACTTTCCGGCAAAATGAACATCACTAACATCAGGTCAGCAAAAACAAGTACCTTGTAGCACCTGAATGCCACTCAAAGTGCAGAAATAACAAGGATTATTCTAACAGGTCTGCAGATGGCAATATTCCCTGAGAGGCTGTAACAGAGCAGGTTCAGAAGTGACTGTGTGTTGAATTAACTGCTGCACTCCTCTTAAATGTCCAGGTTTGTTCTGCAACCGAACGTGGGATGGCTGGTTGTGCTGGGATGACACCCCTGCTGGAAGAATCACTGCTCAGAATTGTCCGGATTACTTTCCAGACTTTGATCCAACTGGTACAGTATTTCTTTTTATCATCTTACTCTAAGGAAGTCTTCAGAACATTCATGCCATTGAGTGGAAGCATGTTTCCAGTGGCTTTTTTGCAACATTGTGAAATCTCAGAGAGTTTGGCTGAAATTAAAATAGGTCAAGCTTTGGGGGTTTTTAATTTACATGTTTTCATTTGTAAAATATTTTATATATATGTAAATATTACCCATGGATTTATGGAACCTAGTTTATGAATATATTAACCACCTAGATATAATATCAAAATATTTTAAACACCTCATTCTAAGTAATGAAGAGAAAATGCTTATGTGCATAAAATCTGTATCAGCATGTTCTTTGTTCAGTTTTTATTGGAAAATATTTTATGGAAGCAGATGAGCAGAAATAATGTTCTTTCAGTCTCCAAGTTTCAGTTGTTCATTGAATTCATAAACATATTAGCAGCCATGCAGACTTAAGAGAAGTAATTCAAGAACATTTAAAAGGACAAATGAAAAGAAAAATCTAGGACAGAAATAATAGGAACTATTAGACACAAGTATAACTCCACAAAGAGTATTGTTTGAAGAAAGACACACTTGTGTGTTCAACGCTCAGGACATGTTGCTTGTAGGGGGTGCTTGATGCTACAATGTGCTAAATCCCGCATAGACATAGTGCACTAATTGCATTTAAAAACTATGAAAGTAAACATTTGGGGAGGAGCGTATATAAATCTGAAAATTTTCAACAAGGTTAAACCAAAATGTATGTGCCCAACTGGAAAGTAAGGAAACAGACTATTGCATAGCTGTGAATTAATTATCCAGTACCATTAGCTGAAACTGTTCATTTTGTTGAGCTTGTTGCCTTTTTAGAAATAGAGGAGTTTTCACGTTGGATCAGACCCAGTATGCATTTTGCTGAATCCCATTTACAGTAGCAGCCCGATTGATCGATATTTCTGTTCTTTATAAATCAAGCTATCCATGATTAGAAAATTCACTCAGCAAGTGGGAAACTTCCAGTGTCAATCCCGGTATGAGAGGATTAAAACCTGCATCCCAACTTTGATGGAGGAACCTCCCGCTTTCCAGTGGAAGTAGGCACTGAACAGAATGGATTGCAGGATTTGTGTGCCCGGGAAGTGAGTTTATGTGGCACTGTGACTGTCCATCTCTTGTGGGAATACTCTGAGTCCTACCCCACAAATCTTTACAGCAGTTTACATCCCCGAGACACCCAACAGGCACTGAATCACAAAGTTTTGTCTTTTGTGACCTTTTTTTGCTTTCTGACAGTCTTGACGTCTTTAATGTACAGTGTCATATTTGGAGCACCTCTGGGAAAACAGGCTGAGAAGCTGAGACCCTCAACTGGAGGGGTACCTTTGAACTAGGTCTCCCCTCCATGGACAACTGCTTCAACCACTAGGCTATTTGCACAAAAGATACCAGAAGAGCATTTTAAAAGAATTGGCCAAACTTGCTTCAGTTCCCAGATAGAAATACCCACATTCAGGAGGGAGCTTGAGGCTCTGGATCCTGAGGTAGCCTTTTCCTACATGCATGTTAGAGGTGCCTCTTGGATGGGGTCTGTACCTTTCACTTCAGCCCCCGTTTTGTTCATGATAATATGACAATTTACTACAAGGCTTCTACTTGCCTTGCTCCCATGGTTTTTTAAGAAAAAAAAAAAAACAAACAACAACCCTGTGGCACTAACAGTCCTAGTTTATGTATACTCCATGCGCTGTTGAGCTGATACCTGCAAAAGGTGGTGTTGGGCAGTGCTGTGATCACAAAAGTCTCCCCACAATTCGAGGTCCTCATCCCTCAGTGCATGGGAGTGATTACAGAGCCACTCCTCTGCTTGCTTCCAAACCACCTATTCCCAGCTTTTCCACTTGCCCACGTGTCTCCAGTGACTTGTTCTGAACAGATTGCTCTGCTAAGTAACACTTGAAGCTATCCATGAAGAAGCACCTTGTTCCACTTATTAAGGCTTATTAACGCCAAGGTCTGTGGCTCATAAGGCTGTTTGCAGATCACTCCTTAATATACAGATGCATGCTGCATAGCCTGGCGCAAAGGGGGTGTGTGTACTGCGGTTACTATTTTTGTCATGCTTTAAACAGATTTGAGAATTTTTTAGTACTCCTGTTCTCTGTACACAACCTTAGGAGGAAAAGCCTCCTCCAGCATTTAATTTCCTACTTTTCTCTCTCCTGTCCTGTTTAGCAACAATACCTTTGGTCTTCTGGACTCAGTATTTTCCCCTGGTACATCTTGCTTCTCTTTGTCAGCACCTCTGTCAACCTCTTTGCCTTCATCCCAGTCAGTCAACAACTGTTTCCCTGGCTTGACAGCAACTCAGCAGCTCCTGGTTGAGCCAGAGCCACTTTCCTGGAGTAGCTGTTGAGTAACCCAACACATATTACTGCTGCAACATCAAACCAGTGGGTAGTCAGCTTTTGCTTTACACGTGGCTGATTGTCACACAGGGACTTAATAAAGGAGGAGGGAGACAAGAAGTCATGGGGGTGACTAGAAGTCTTTCAACTGCTAATGGAAGTGGCTGCCACTTACAGGTGGTCAAAAGCACAGGTTCAGCTGTCCTGAGAAGTCTGTCAGGTTTTGTGTCAGAAGTCATTATTTCCTTTGGTAAATTATGCCTGTTAAACAAAATAAAGCCAGATTTTCTGCTGAGAAACAGAAAATTCATCCGAAAGAACAACTATTTTACAAGATGAAAACTGCAATGCCTGTCAGATTTTCTTCCCATTAAGTCTCCATGATATCAAACCACCTCAGCATGCATTTTAGTCATGCAAGTAACTCCATGGACTTCTGAAACAAGGATTCCATGCTGTGCTGCTTTGGGGTGCACTGAGATCTGCAGAACCGCTGTGTATCAGCTCGCTGATGGCTAAACTACTTTAATTTAAGGCCATGTATAGCTTTGAGTCCTGGAATAAAATGATATCATTCAGCTTTCTTTTTGTGCTTTGATACTTACTTCATTTGTAACTGGAAAAGTGAAACATAATCTGGCAGCAGATCTGGTCGGATCCTCCTCCCATCTGCACCTGTGGGTGCTGTATACCAGTTCTCTATATCTGAACCCCCAACAACATTCAGCATCAATGCCAAGAACAAATTGCTAGAGTATGTTAGAGAGTAAATAATGACAAATCATATTCTGGAGAAAAGGACCCAGAAGGAAAATGATGGAGAACATGCTAAGTGCTCCATTCATTTTGTGTCTGGCAGCTTCACAACTAACTACTAGATGGAGTCCCACTTGTTTCACTGAATTTGCATCAGTTCTTACTAGATAGGAATCTGTGTTCTCAAAGAAGGAACACTGTGATAATCTAGTCTGTTCAGTTAGCTAGGGCTTCCCACACTTCTTTCCCCACCTGAGGAAGCTCTATCCTGTGAAAGGAAATCAGTATCTTAAAGCTACCAGACAAACAGAAACCCCTCTTTACAAGCTGTGACAACTTTGTCCTTTTCAATAAACAACTGTTGCTTCTTGTAGCAATCTCTTTCTCACAATGACCATCACACACATAATGTGATAATGTATAAAACAAAATCAATTTGTCTGGAAAACATACTGAGACCTACTGCTTTAACTTCAGTAACAGCAGGAGATTCATTGTCTCATCCACTCCTGACTGTGAAGCTCTGAACAGGGCTGAGTTTTATACTCCCCTATTCAGACAACATGCACAGTTTCTCTTGATTTGTATTTTCTATTCATATTTTATCCATATTAATCTTTGGTGTAATCCCTTTGTCCAGGTCACACTGAAATTGCTAGGAATTGAATTTGATAGGACTGTAGTATGTAATTCATGCTGGTAATGTTCTTGCTAATAAAAAAAGGAAAATATATTGTGGCTGTAACAGCCTTCTAGCAAGGCAGATTCACTGGGGGCAGCAGGAGGAGCAGAGCATTGCCCAGTGCTGTGCACAAGCTGCTGGGTTTGTGACAGGAGAGTGTTATATTACCCACCTCACTCCCTGCATGGTGCGTTTGGTCAGGATTAATTTGGTGCAGTCACATAGAGCAGTGGAGCTGAACATGCAAGTTGAGCACTGACAGTCATACCTTTTAGTTTCATTTTCTTTCCCTTTCCTCTTTGGCAAAGAGTAGTGGTTAAGATACCACCCCAGCAGGGAGCAAGCCCTGCACAACTTTGTGATCCAAGGCAGTATTTAGTAAAGCTCTACTCAGTTCTTGACTTCGTTGCATTTCTGTCTTTGGTTCCATTTAGTAAACCAGTTACTTAGAACTATTCATGTGGCTCCAAGAGCAAAGTTTCTACAAGTGCATTTTGGAAACAGATCCATATGTATCCATAAGCAATTACCTTGGATAATGATTAATGTGTTGTTAATTTTCACAACTGAGAAACATGGAAGTACAGCCTTGCCTTCCTGCTCTGACACTGACTAGAGGGATTGAGGTCCTTTTACTCTGGAGTGTGGATCACAGCAGCTGAGGGGGGAGAGGCACGGCAGTATTTGTGTCCTCTGCACCTCTCTTCTTGTGCCATACTGCTGTCTCTGAATTGCTTTGTCTTTCTTACAAAATACCTTTAGAGAAATAAGGATAAATGCTCCATGCAGAAGAAGGGGGAACAGATTGAGTAGCTCTTTGCAGACCCTTTTGGATTTACCAGCTGTGATGCCTGTGATCAGCAGGGACTGGATTTGAGGGACACAGGCTCACTCTTGTCACAGCTGGCAAAATGCACAAAGCTGAGTAGGTTGCCAAGCTGACAAGAGCAGTCATTGCAGATGAGAAATCATAGCCTTCCACAAACCAAAGAGAGAGAGAGAGAGAGAGAGAGAGAGAGAGAGAGACCTTCTGGGTTGCAGCAGCAGGTGCAGCTCCTTCTACCCCCCTGGCTTCTGGCAGTCAGGGACCCCACTTCCTCAGGCATCCCCTAATTCACCTCCCCAACCATGGTGTCCCCTCTTGAGTACCCAGTCCATCATGTGCTCCTTCGACCCAGCACTGTGCCTCGGCAGGGTGATGTGCCTGGGCTGCAGGCAAGGAGCAGCATCTCAGTGGTCCTGGGGACCTGCTGGAGCACCCTGAGCAGTGTACAGACAACTAGGCTTGGGAGATCCCTTCTCTTGCTGCCACAAAATGCAAATTTCCTGACCCAGGCAAAGAAACCCAGCTCTGGATTTGTTGGTCCATTTCTGTGTCTTGAAGTGATCATCATTTAGACAGTGATAAATAAAGCAAATCTGAACACTTTGTCCAACTTGTTCTTTCCTCCTACTGTTCTGTGTATTTCTGTCCTGCTTCTTAGCAAGAATGACAGCTGTATTTTAAAAATCAATTCTTATCTCCCCAAATACAGATTCCAGTTCTGCTGACTGAGGCATTCTGATGATAGTGACAATTCTTCACTTATTAGCACACTAGAATTGAAGTTTTCTAGGATCTCCATTGCATTATATTGGAAGTGTTTGAAAAAAATTCTTCAAAAATATTTTACTGAGGGTGTAAGTAAATCAGATGTGCTACATCAGCAATTCCCCCATCTGCAAAACTAAGCACTACACATACAGGTCTGTCCAAACAATGGCAAAGAATCCAGTGTCTGGTATGTGCTGAGCATGCACTGCAACAGAGGAAAACTTTCTTTCTGTTGACTCTTTTAACCTGTGCTAGCTATAGAGTTGGTCTAATTGTAAAAAAACTGACTGATAGAGTTGTCATGCTTATCCAGAGTTACTGCGTTAAGATATTTGTTACATATAAATGACTTGAGTTGTTTTTATGAAAATATGGTAAGAGCACTATTACAAACAATACCAAATGCAAAACTATTACTGATGGTGAATCTTTTTGTACACTTCACTACTCCCATGAAACTGGCCTTGTGGATGAGATTTCTTTCATCCATTTTTCCCAGATAGCTCTTGAAGTGTCTATCTTTATAAGCTAACTACAGAGAGCCTGCACAACTGCCTATGAATTGCATAACTTTAAGGGTGCTAAAGTCAGGTGAGACGAATCCCATGCAATGTCACTCTTCCTCTACTTTGAATAATGTGATGCCCAAGTGGTGCCCTATCCAAGCTGACAGGGTGCAGACAGAGCCTAAGAAATCAGTTTTTACACAGTATGTGAATAAAAAACTCACACACTTCCATTTTGCCGTGCCAGTATTGCCTTACCTATCCTTATACACTTGTGTATTTCTTCAGAGCTTACTAGATTCTTCTGGTTAGCATAAAAACCAACATGTGCCCAGGTTCATAATCCCACACCTGCTACTGGACCACTGTAGAATTAATTGCAGTAGAACTGTGGTTGGGTTACAGACTCACAGCTTTATTTCTGTATAAAATCATAGATTTAGAACAGCTGTTTGACCTGTTTGAATCACTGGGATGGACAGCAGGGAGGCTTATCCCACAGTTCCATACTCTGACACCATCACAGCAAGAAATTTGTGGGCTGTGGCTGCTTCCAGACTAGGATCAGTTGTGTTTGGCTGGCTTCAGGGAAAAGTATGAGGCAACAGGTTTGTCTCTAACTTACAGAGGCCACATTAAACTTCATCAGAGTGCCTATCTAGGCACTAAAGTACAGAGATGATAGATGATGTTACCGTTGTATTCTAGAGCATATTAACAAAAGCCATGTATTTTGCAGAGTGCATGACAGTAACTATGATGTTTGTACACTGTGTTCCATGGTAGTGTAACCATTAATCTTTTATCTATGACTGAAAACTTTTTCCAGCTTTAGATGATATCTGGCAACAAGTACAACAGGAACATTGCTACACAGGCAGTCTGAGATTATCTCCAAGCTTCAGCGATGGAAGGCTGAGATAACATGTACTGTTCCTCTTGGTGTTGTTGATACATGTATTGATTTTCAGCACGTCCTCCAACACAATGGTTTGAAACTCACAATCATTTCAAAAGTGTGCTGTGGAGGATTGTCCTGTTGGGTTATTTTTATGCAATGACACTATATAAAGTCTATTTTTAGTCAGGGAAAGATAGCTTAATCTGTAGAATCCTTATCTTGCCAGTATGATGAGTTTCTTTCCTTAGGATTTATGGAGGGAATAGGAATCTTCCAAATTAATAGAATTATTAATTATGAGAACTGCTTAAGAAAAATAAATGCAAATGTGGAACACAAAAAGTGAAGATGTGCATGTTCAAATAGTAATCGGCTCTGTAGAAGTGTATTAACTGGAAATCTGATAGTATATATATAAAGCTAATAAAATTATAAAGCTATAATAGGCAAAGAGAAGTCAAACTAGACTTTTTAGATTATCTAAGAAGTCAGACTTGAAATACTGTGTTTTTCATAATCAGCTGTGTCACTACCTAAGAAAACATCAAATAATTTAAGTTTCTGATCTTATCCTGCCTTTCTTACTTGGGCAAACTTTCCAGTGACTCCCACGTGGCTAATGCTTGAGAGAAAGCCAAAGGAACTAGTCCAAAACTTGGCAGATGATTAGGAGTGACTGCCTGCTCTGCAGCATCCAGGGTTTCCCAGGCAGAAATGTGAGCGTGGCTAGGAAGACTGTGGCACAGCACACATCTGCGGCTCCAGGTGCCCCTCAGAGCTGTATGGTGCTGAAGCCCCAACTGTCCCCCTGCCACAGTAAAAGGACGTGCATGAAGGAGCACAAGCCTGGAGAGTGATCTGTATGGCAGGGCTTTCAGAAAGGATGCCAGAGCCACCTGCAGCACGGGAACCAGCACCAGAGGCACATGTGGAAGGTTCAAACGCACATCAGATTATTTAAACAGAGAACTGTGCAGCCATTTTAAATTCAGCTGGACACCTGGGACCTGTGCCAAAAAGCTTGTGAGGCTGTTTCTCCCAGTGCCTTCATGTTTTGCAGCCTCAGAGGAAAACGAACAGCGGTCCCACTCACCCCTGGCAGGATTTAGCTGGCATAAGGGGTGGGCAGGACTCTTCCACCCCTCTGCATAAGCACAGGGTTGGGGCTGTCACCGTCTCCAGCACTCAGGCTCTGATTTATACACTGCTTTTCTCTGCACAATATTTTTAACTAATTATTTCCCTTGATACCTGAAACCATGCTGCAAGACTCAGGCTGTTAGTGTCTGTGTATGGATAACAACATGTCCTAGTGAGTGTCAGGTTTGAAAACAAAAAGTTAGATTTGCATGCTAGCCAGTGGGCACATTCATTTTCCAACATCAGTATTGCAGGTTGGGATGAGAACTAAAGATATGCAGAAACTACTGTGTTTGCCTGGCTGTGCACACTTCCATCAGGGCCTAACATTACTTTCTCTGCCATAAACAGCTTTCAACAGCCTTTTCAAATGAATTATCACATAAATCATTGCATCTGGGTGAAGGCTGGGTGTATATACACTTTACTGCATTCATTCAAGACAAGAGACAGATAAATGACAAGCATACCATCAGAGAAGTCTCTGATAAAAAGAAAAAAAGCAGCAGACAAATCTTTATTAATTGCACAAGTTGAAAACCCTTTGGATTTTGTTACACAGGCTTGTTATTTCCAATCATAGAAATTCTTTTGTATGGATTTTTAAAAGCGTAATGTACATATGCTAAAATAACTATTATTGCCATTTATCATCAGAGAGGGCTTCAAAATACTGTGATGAAACTGGAAACTGGTTCCGTCATCCTGAGAGCAACCGAACTTGGTCCAACTATACCCTGTGCAACTCTTTCACCTCTGAAAAATTGAAGGTATGCTACGATTAGACAGTGATTGTCTGGAATGGTTTTGAGCTGGGCTAGCAGTAAGACACATATGAGAGAGGTCGGAATAATCCTCATCTTTTAGCTTTATTTGTTGCACAAGAATTTAATAGCATTGTCCTTGTGATTTTAGCTTACTGAAATTAGTTGATGAGTGCTCGAACCTACATACAGGTTTGCTATGACGTGGATAGTTTAGTAGCAATTCATGCAACAAGTTTTCCACGATTTTTCAAATGCATTTTTTAATTCCTATGATTTTCCCTGATTGCCCCACAGTTACAAAATGATCCTTTAGAATTTCAATTTTGCTTTCTGTAATAAATATCTTCCAAGCTGTTGATGTCTTCTCTGTAGGGCTACAAATATTAACATAAATTAAAATTATTTTTCTTAAGCAAAGAATATCACCCTGTACTCACACCCTTTGAAAAGAAATATTTATGAAGGTACCATTAATCCTGAAAATTCTACAGGCCTGAACACATTTAACTTTAAGAGTTTGAGTGAAGTCATAGAGACTATTTACAATAATGAATTAAGCATTTGCATCAGTATTTCCAAAATCAAGTTGCTAAGCTGAAAAAGGAGAACTAAACATAAAAGCACCAAAAGAAATGGAGAGAAATCTGAGAAAAGCTTAAAAAAAAGTAAGTTAGGGAAACTCATGAAAATAAACATATTTCTCAAATGTGAGTGGAGCTCCAGGAAAATCTGATTATAGATTGTGACAGAATAATTTGTGACTACTTGGAACTGTGGAAAGAAAAGAGTAAAAAAGTTATTTGATTTGGGATTTGTGTTGGAGGATCTTTTTTTATGCAGACAAAAAGCAGTATGTGGTTATATTTAGTAATGATCCAGACCAAAGGGCCTTGAAAAAAGTCTACTGGACTAGGCAGGAGGTGAATTCTAAAAGTTTTTGCAGCATGAGGAACCATCATGGTAAAATAGAGCTCATCTATGTGACAAAGACAGAATAATAGTAACAATCTGAGCTCACAGAGGCATTAAATGGAAGCCTCGTAACATTACAATTTTTCCAGATGTTGGCCCATGTAGGGAGGCAAAAAATGTACTTCTGTTACCTATTATCCATGCCTTCCAGAAGAACAATTTTGAACATCATTCAAGCAAAGTGCAGATAGAACACAAAGGAAAATTATACATACATCAAGATTCTTCTGAAACAAAAAGTAATGGAAAATACAGAAAGAATCTGTCTTTACAGAAATGCCAAGTTAGATTATGACCTTTAATCTAAGTCTTTGAAAACAGGAGTGTACTTCATTTGTAGACTGCTTCCATGTACCTATGAATAACATAATTAACTAAGTAGGAGGTATTCCTATTAGAGAATTCTCTTTCTTCAATTCAGGAATTCTAGGGGGAAAAGAAGAACATTTAAGTGTTTCTTTTAAAAGTTTTCGAAGCCCAGAATCTGCATATGCTAAAAATTTGGTGAGTCAGGTGTTAGAAGTCCTGTATGTTAGAACGAACATGACAGATTGTCATTTCAAGGAGTGCAGAAATTAATAAAAATGTTCATTATGTGTTTTAAGTTAACTGGAAATACCAATATGCTATAGTTTTGAAACAGATCACTTAAAAAAAATATTGCATCCAGTTCTTAAAAAATGCAGCGGTAGACCATATGATTTGTTAGATAACGGTTAGGTCCATTCTGATCTGTCTTTATTGTTATATTTGGAAAGCTTTTTAAGCAGTTACTTACAGTAATTAATTAAGTTTACATGGAGTAACCACAAATGCTCTTGCTGAATCCCAGATATAGTTAAATTGATTTAGCAGTCGTACGCTGAGAGGTAGATTGTTTTAATAACCAAGAGTCCTTTGAGGTGCACATATATTTACATGTAGCTATCTGGAAGCCTTTCCTACTTCTACCTGTTTAAGGGTAAGGGCTGTATACAGGATAGGCAAAAAACCAACATATATTTGAAAAATTCATCTGTAAATTAAATTCAGGCTTAAAAATTATATCTAACTCCATGAAAAGCCATAGCAACTACTTAGTATGGAGTGGAAGAAATGGCAGATGCACACATGTAAAAGACTCTCCCACTACTCTGTGTTCAGAAAGTTTTCATGTTTTCTCTGCACTCTGGTCTTCCCTCTCTGGCATTGCTGGTGCTCTCAGAACAAGTTGTCAAGCATTTGCGCTCACTAGCAATCTTGTGGTTAGTCTTTGTGAAGGACAACTAGGAGAACTTGGGTATTTGCAGTTAATATGCATATATTTCCATAACATGGTGAAAGATATTAACGCTCAGATCATGTCTGTTCTACACGGTCAGGATGGTATAAATATGACTTTGGTTTAAATCTGAAACAGTCTACCACCACTTAGGTTAGTGAAAGCAGGAGCTGATTCCAAAGTTGTAAAATGACTGAAGACCTAGATAAGATGTGTACCTTTGCTAAGATGAATGGCTGTGTTTTCTGAATTTCATACTGATTTTCAAATGAAAATTTAAAATTACTTGGAAACACCAAAAAAATGTGAGTAGCAAAACTTAAGGCTACAAAAAGCAATTCATCTAATCATTGAAAAAAAAAAAAAAGGAAAATTGTGTGTGCATAACAAAAGAAAAATTAATTAAGAGGAGCTGAAAAGAAAATAAACTAAGCAGAGGAACTAAGGCCTGATACCTAGTCTTTTTTTCAGGACAGGCTGATACTATGTTAGTGCTTTCAGAAAAGAAGGCAATGGTGAAGCCTGGCGTGCCATTTAGCCTCCTGCAGTTTTCTGACAGCTGCGTGATGCTTAAGACCTTGGCTGAGGCCAAAGTATGACATTTAAATATCGCAGCAGTCTGCAGCTCAGGTGCTGTCCTGCAATTTTGTTTCACTATTGGCATACAAAATATGGATAGGCCTATCTTAGATTTCACTGATAGCAGTCAAAGTGAAAGCCCGATTATCTGTTTGTGCATACTGGCTTCACAGCACTGAAAGACCATCTAGTTGCCCAAAAGCAAGGTTCACACCAGTGTGAACCAGAATTTGTCTCAGGGTGTGCTGTTCTAGTGTGGTAGGAGTTGAGGATAATTTCATCTCATCTACTGCTTTCATGACTCTGTGGGCCTTAATCATAAGCCCCCTCTGACTTCCCCTCTCCAAAGGGGACAATCCCGGCATTTGTACCCACTTGTCATAACACAGCTCCTCTACCTCCGTTATTTTAGTTACCTTCTCTGCACCTTTCCTAGCTCTGCCATGTCCATAAGTTGTGGAGACAAGAAACACACATGCATTTAAGATGTGCCATGTAATTTTTACATCTACCCTCAGTGCCTTTCTCAATGATATCCAACGTTTTGTTGCATTTTTGACTGTCTTTATGTACTAAACCAATGGTTCAGAGGACTGGCCAGAACGACTCCAAAATCTCCTTCCTGAGTTTGGTTTCCAGTTCTGAGTTCAGCATTGTGTAGGCAGGGTTTAGATCATTTTTCTGTGGGTGTGTCACCACTTTTTTTCTGTATTAAAGCTCATATGGCATCTTCTTGTCTCCTCAGTTATGTGAGGCCCTCCTGGAGTCTCTCACTCTTATCTGGAAGACCTAAGTATCACCTGGAAGCTTAGAGATTTCTCTGCATTAGGTCACTGATGAATATGTTGAACAAAAAGCCAGAAAGCCAGCCCTGATACCTGTCCCAAGGGCACCTAACCACTGACTCATCTCCAGAAGTGATCATTAAGCTTTTGTTCCCTGTTGTTTAAGCTGCTTTCAACCCATAAAAGCTTTCCACCAATCCTGAGGCAACCTTTTTTTTTTTTTTTTTTTTTTTTTTTTTTTTT